ACTGTGACCTTAAAATTGACCTTTGACCTACTTTTTACCATGAACTTAACATTGCAAATTTTGGTTCCCTGTTATCTCCAAAACTGGCAAAAATACGCCCATAGTAACTATTGAATTTGAATAGAAGTCATGAGAGGCAATCTAAATGTACCCTTGAAATTGACCTTTGACCTACTTTTCATCATGAATTGAACTTTGCAAATTTTGGTTCCCTTTTATCTCCAAAACTGGCAGAGATAGGCCCATAGTTTCTATTGAACTTGAAAAGGAAGTCATATACTGGAAATTTACTGTGACCTTGAATTGACCTTTTGGCCTACCTCACTATGAACTGAACTTTGATTTTGAGAATTCTTGTTGATTGCATTTTTTACAGCTTGTCAAGCACAAGACTGGTGGTGGTGTCCCTTTTTTGTGTGTGTGTGTGGGTCTATACAATCGCGCTTACTCCAGCTGGTGGTACAATATTCGGAGGTGGTATCGCCTCTCTGATCCTCTAGTCTGTCAGTGTTCCGAGTGACCACTGGCTCTCTGGCAGAATGACAAAGGCTTTCCACTCAGACCAGTGGATTTGCACCTGGTAATGGAAAATGAATATATGTTTTTTGTGTATAAAAGAAGTTCAGTGATATTTATTTTCTGATTATCTCTGATATGGAACAAAAGTAATGCAGTATATTGGTATGTTTTCTCCACTGTATCCAGGTGAGCAAATTGAAAGTAGAGGATTGTGGCAGTTATGCTACATGTGATGACTGCCTGGCCTCCAGGGATCCCTTCTGTGGATGGTGTAGTCTGGAGAACAAGTAAGACTGTATTTCCATAAACCCACCGTACAACATTGAAGTTGCTTTCACTAAATGCAATATAGTGAGAATCCCCGCAGAATTAGATCAATTCAGCTAATATGATGCGTTTATGGGAACTCTCCCTAAGATTCTGAGTATTTTTAAATAATGTAGTCTTGAATCGTGAATCTGTTGTTTAGATATGGTATTAGAAAGGACATTTAGTATCTGTAATTCAATGTTTTTTTTTTGGTATATTTTTCATAGTTTGTTGAAGTATGATATGTAATAATATGTTTTAGCAACAAGTTTTCACTTTGCAATATATCCTTATGCTATTATGTGAAACTACGCTATTTGTATAATTACAGTTTCAATCTGACAGAAAGATAAAAGGAAAATCAAAGTTAGTTTGAGTAACATAGTAAAATGCATTGATAGTAAATAAGGTATATTCTTCATCACTTTAAAATCTTCACATCTTCACTTTAAGATGTAGCAGAAAGAGTCGGTGCAGTGATGCAGATGGTTCAGGAAGATGGCTGCCATTTGATAATGGACAGTGTACTAAGATCAACTCCATCTCACCCTCCAACACACCCCTGGCCAGGCCAACACAGGTTAATAATAATAATAATAATAATAATAATAATAATAATAATAATAATAATGTTGATTTGTAACTATAATGCTAAAATAGATTTTATAATAGATTATTAATAAATGAAGATTTAATGTCATAAATTTGTTGAATTTAGCTATGATTTTGATTAAAAAAATATGCTCTAAATAAAATGATGTGATGCAAGTCCATGTGAAGCTGGCCATTGTCATAGACTGAAAAGAAATGATACAATGGTCTAAAACAGCTGTATGCAATGTCTTAACTTGTTTGAGATATGATTATATATAATACATTTATAACTGAACAATAATCTCTGAATGATAAACTTAATTGTAGGTGAACCTCTCCGTAAGCCTGCTACCCCCAGGCCAGACTTACAAGTGTGTATTTGATACTACAGCTGTCAGTGCCACAGTCACTGGGGGGAACATGGTGACATGTGACACACCCACCAGCTTTCCTTCTATACCAACTAGGGATGGTAAGGAGGACTCTCATTGACAAAATTTTGTTCAACATGTCCCATTTTAAGTTTTTATTTTCAGCCATTTTTGGCAACTTTAAACTGTATCATTTCAGCAATTTTAAAAGTCACACTGATGTCAGTCACCTCTTTAAGCTCTGTTAATACTCTTGTTCCAGACAATATCAGCTAACTCTTGAAGCACTTTTTATATTGGTATTCCAGATCACATCACCATACCCCTGTCCATAAAGTCAGTGACTACAGGAGTGAAGTTCTTGACAACCAACTTCACATACTTTGACTGCGGGGCACATTCTGGGTATGTACAAATGTGACAAATTGTGACATCACTGTTCACTTTAATAGTACATCGTAAAGTAGTTCATGTGTAAAACATTTTACTGGTAATCAAGTTCAGTTGGCGATTTATTGATAAAATTATCAAACACTGCCAGCGAATTAATGATCAAATAGTGATAATCGTTGCTTAGTAGATTATCTTGTCATTTGTTTTATTTCTAGAGATTATCAGTTCTAGTTATTATCTCTACATAATTGATGAAATTGTGAAGGATTATTTTTACATGGGATTTAAAAACATGTTGTAACCACCACATGTCCATACTATGTTTAAACCTGTTCTGTAAATTGGTTTTGTATCTTCCTCAGGTGTGTGTCCTGTACCAGCAGTAGTTGGGCCTGTGACTGGTGTATATATGCTAACACATGCACCCACGTCAGCAGTACTTGTAGTCCTAGTGGAGGGGTTATACCAGGACAAAATGTAAGTCACTACATCCATCAGATTTCTCTTCTGACTTGTTTATATCTTAATGGCACATTTTATTTATTTATTTATTTATTTATTTATTTATTTATTTATTTATTTATTTATTTATTTTTGCAGAATTAATCTGTGTATTGTGTGTAATATGCAAAAATAGGTGAAATGTGCCTATAATGAAAATATTTTGTATATTTATTGATTGTCTAAGTTGTATGTATAGAACAATGAGTGGTCTTGCACTTCAAAATGTCTTTGTTCACTTTGAAATATCAGTTTAATATATGATTGAAATGATACACTTCTCTCTGGTAATGCACAAATTCTTATTTTGGAGAGAGTAATAAAAAAGGACTTTTCTGTTTAAAGTATAGAATGTCAGCAGGAGTTAAACTACTTTTGTCTTATATAATTACTACAGTTAGAAGAATCGTGTGCCAAATATGTTAAATATTTTTACATAAAATACCTACACTTTACTATACATATCATTTAAGAGTCAAGCCAACGTGGGTATTAAAGGTCCCACCCTGTGTCCCCAGCTCCTACCACGTGCACATGATGTCCTGTTACCTGCTGGGGTCACCAAAGTGATCTCACTGAGTGGGAAGAACCTACCTGTGCCATTGGTGTGTACTTTAGTTTGCACTGTGTATAGGAATAGGTTTACTTGTCTGAGGTTATTTTTGTTTAAGACTAATTGATAAAAAATATGTTAAGTTAAAATTTTTATGAATTTAATTGTTGCTTTTGCATGTTTTGATTCTGAGCTCATAGTTCAAAAACATATCCTTAGTTTAATTACAGTGTTAACAGAATTGTTTATTTTGACATTTATTTTACCTTTCCATCATGCAAGTTGGCCTCTGCTAAAAAGGCAGGGGCAGTTATGAAAACTTTTATTTTAGTTTTGAAAAAAAATCATTTTATAATATGTTTAAAATTAATGTGATTGTCCAATTTCAGGCTGGCCAAGGTGTTTATCAATGTAAGATAGGCACTAACACAGTCCAAGCTATCAGGCAGAATGATAGTGCCATTGACTGCCAGAGCCACGCTGTGAGTATAGACATGACGCAAACCATCTCATTGGGGATGAGATTTGTTTGACTGTTGGCTGATTTCTAACTCTTTGGAAGCCAGAAAGTCTCATCCCTATTAAATAGATACTTGTCTCTATTTTTTATAAGACAGTGAGCATAATGTTAGTTCAGACAAGGGTCAGTTTATATCAGAAATTGGCCTCACTTGTGTCATTAGGCCTCTAGATCACTGAGAGACCCCAGTCGCTCTATGAAAATTACTGTGTAACCTCTTCATTTGACACAAATTGGCCCAAAATTTGGTGTAATGTAGTCCTTTCGTAAATGGACTTATGGTGATTGGTAGTTATCCTATACCTTGCTTTAATTATATCATATGAAGTAATGTTTTTAATAAGTGGGTGAAATACGAAATAATGATGAATTTTTTGTCTAATATCTGAGCTCTGTTTACTGATCATAGTTGTTACTGTTAATGTTGGATGTTTGTCTGTATTAATGGTGGTTTTCCATTCATTCCAGTATGTGTACACAGCCATCACAGGCCAGGAGAGACATAAAATACAAGTAATCTGGAATAATAACCATATGATAGATCAACCCACTGGGTCTCAAGTCAGTGGTATGTGTTGTAAAACAAATTGGTGTTGCTTCTTTTCCTATCTCAAATGTTGTTCTCAGGTATGAGTAAGGGTTGGGATGTGTAAATACTTAAATATATGATTTAAGTAAATCCTGTGAAAAATTTGACATGTAGTTCAGAGGATTAGGTTTGTGTTTTTTTAATGGTAGTGGACACTGTTATTCTTTTCTATGGCAGTAACTGTGTACCGCAAAAGTGTATAACATAACTGGGTAGTTTTTGTGATGCATTTTTTGTTAATTATTGTATACTGTTACACAGTGATGTTACTATTTTTTCAGTAGGTGAGTTTTTTTATGGCAGTGCATGGACATAACTGTTTATGTTTCCTATGGCAACAACTATGTACAGCACAAGTGTCAGTATAAGTTTTCTGGGCAGTTTTTGTGATATATGTATTGGTAACTATTGTATTTTGTTACACAATGATGTCTCTGTTATTTCAGCAATCCTGTACAAGTGTAACATCATGGGCACCACATGTGGCACATGTATTGGTGGTGTGAATACAAAGTTTGGCTGTGCTTTCTGTGGAGGGACGTGCAAGTATCGCCCAACATGTAGTGTACCGGCTGAGAGCACCTGCCCCGATGTCATTATTAACTGGGTTAGTATAGTTATATACAGTAAACAGAATATCATTCTCATCCTTCAGCCTTATGTTTTCACTTAAAAGAGAAAAACATTAATTGGTGATTATCTTAATCTTAGAGTGTAACGTAAAATATGTTTGCAGTAAGCTACAACAAGTACTGCTATATGATTGTCTAGACTTTTTTATTTGATGAACATGTTTACAAGTTTCTAGGTTACATACAAAGCTCTGTTGTTCATGAGAAATAATTATGGCATAGTGAAAAAGTTAGCAGAGGATTTTGTCATAGAAATTGTCAGGTTTTTAAAAACTTAGACATTTTCTTTCATCCAGGTTTCCCCCTTGAGTGCCCCAGTTGAAGGTCACACCAAGGTCACCATCAGTGGCACCAATTTAGGCACCTCTGTTGCCAGTATACCCACTGTTAGACTGGCTGGAGTGGCCTGTAGACCTGTTACAGAAGACTATGTGGTCTCAAAGAGGTAAGAAACTATAGTAAACTTGAGGTATTTTTTCTCTAATGAGTAATGTGTCTAAACTAGTACAATTCTCATTGTGTTGTTCTCCAAAATTTCCTCTACTTTCAGAATATAAGAAATATGTAACCAGTATATGGCAGTTTATTATTGGTTTCTTGGAAATTTTTGTCTTATATGGCTAAAAGTTGCTACTGCAACAGTTTTTGTAAGATTTTACGCGACATTTCCTAATTTGTATCAGAAATTAATTTTTTCTTGACTTTTTTTGGACAATTGTGGCCACAGGACCGTGTGAGATCAAATACCTACAGGGCCATTTCTTTCCTTTTTATGTACAGACACAGATGTGTCTGTACATATAGCCATCATCTGCGTCTGTCGTCGCCGTCGGCGCCGTCGTCGCCATCGTGCACTTTTACCGATAACACGATAAATGGAAAACAGTTTTTGCTTTTGGCTTGAAACTTGCAGAACTGATGAATATTCATAATACGCAGGCCAAGTTCGAAAATCAGCATGATCGGGTCATTTTTAGGGAATTTATGCTGTTTTTTCCCTTTTTTCAGCATATA